GCATATCTTGGATATACTGACATAGCTCTACAAGGGCACATGTTTATTGAGGTGAGAGGGAATGATTATAAAGATTATTGTGTCACATGTATATCTTGGATATACTGAAATAGCTCAACATATCACATATTGAGGTGAGAGAGGGAATGATTATAAAGATTATTGTGTCACATGTATATCTTGGATATACTGAAATAGCTCAACATATCATATATTGAGGTGAGAGAGGGAATGATTATAAAAATTATTGTGTCACATGTATATCTTGGTTATACTGAAATAGCTCAACATATCATATATTGAGGTGAGAGAGGGAATGATTATAAAGATTATTGTGTCACATGTATATCTTGGATATACTGACATAGCTCTACAAGGGCACAAGTTTATTGAGGTGAGAGGGAATGATTATAAAGATTATTGTGTCACATGTATATCTTGGATATACTGAAATAGCTCAACATATAGCTCTACAAGGGCACAAGTTTATTGAGGTGAGAGAGGGAATGATTATAAAGATTATTGTGTCACATGTATATCTTGGATATACTGAAATAGCTCAACATATCATATATTGAGGTGAGAGAGGGAACGATTATAAAGATTATTGTGTCACATGTATATCTTGGATATACTGAAATAGCTCAACATATCATATATAAACTGAAATGCTCGTCAACTGACGTTTAAACTTAATTAAAACAATGAAACTTTAACACTAATCATATATTTCAAAGTAATAACTTGAACATAAACTTTATCTCAGAAATTTAAAACTATAACAAAGCTTCTTCATAAACAACATTTACAGTTTGCTTTCCATCTACCAACAAATAAAGACCCTACATCTCATAAACCATGAGAAAAACGTGGTTGTTTGAGAAACAATCCAACAACTTTCATACTTTGACTTTGAATCCCTTTAGAATATTCAGCATTGTCTAAAACGTCAACCTACCAAGTTTGTTTGAGATTGACTCAATAGGCTGGGAGTAATTAACCAACAGGCTTTACAAAATAGAAATAGGGTTAAGTTAAATTTTGACATCCTTAGGACATTCCCAATAGTTCATAATGTTTACATACACATTTTGGTTGAGATTGGCCCAATAAGCTCGAAGGAGTTAGGGTGCAAACAGACACACATTTAATTTTTATATATATATAGATATTATATCATGTGTTATATAAATTACATTTTTTCGACATTGTGGGGTTTTCAGTCCGTTTAACTTCACCACATAGTAACCCCATAGACATTATATATATTTCACCCTTATAAGAGGCCGAACTGTATTTCTTTGGCTTGCTGATCCAATCTGTGCTGATGAGCCTTGAATAGACAAAACTTCAGTCCACAGCAGGTGGTACAGCCAATCAAAGAATGCATCAGACATTCTCTGTTTCAATTTCACCTCTGGTGAAAAGGGAAAGAAATCTTTAACATATATATATGTGTGTGTGTTTTAAAGTTTGAATATGAAGCAAATATCTGAAACGTTTCTCTTTCATTTACTATGATGGTATAACAACTCAAAATAATTGCTAACAATGTATATAAAACTTTGTAGCCATTATCAGGACGAAGAAACGAGCATGAAAAAGCACGTAAACAAATCAAAGATAAGTGGCAGAGAGAGTTAAAGAGAATGGTAAGTTTGTTTCATTCTTGTTTTGCGTAATGCAGAGTGGATATACTTAATAATGATTCAAGAAAGTTGCTAGAGAAACTGCTATTTTCAAACTATATAAAAAGTTTAATTTATTTGTAGAGCACTAGTTTTTGTTAAAGTGCTAAATATAACTCCCATTTTACCGAAATATTTGTTAAAATAAAAGTATTAGTTCAACATTTTTCTAAGAATAGGGATGTTCTCAGTGAATTTCATATGGTTGAAACATTAACCAATTTTAAGTGTTTTAACCGTCGGTTTATAGTAATAAGTTTTATCTAACTATTGATTTATCGATGAGGTGGTAGTGGGTGCTGTTGTCTAGACTTCTCCTCTATTATATCAGCTCAAAATTAGGAAAAGATAGGCATTGTGTAACTTATGTTTGAAATAAAAAAGCAACACTTCTACAAAAATATACATAATTCATTTGTATTTAAATGATATTTGATTTTGAGAGTCTTCTTAAATGTATAGTAAAAGTGGTTGTATTGCTGAAGGTTGAGAGTCTTCTTAAATTTATAGTAAAAATGGTTGTATTGCTGAAGGTTGAGAGTCTTATTTAATTTATAGTAAAAATTGTTGTATTGCTAAAGGTTGAGAGTCTTCTTAAATGTATAGTAAAAATGGTTGTATTGCTGAAGGTTGAGAGTCTTATTAAATTTATAGTAAAAATGGTTGTATTGCTGAATGTTGAGAGTCTTATTAAATTTATAGTAAAAATGGTTGTATTGCTGAAGGTTGAGAGTCTTATTAAATTTATAGTAAAAGTGGTTGTATTGCTGAAGGTATGAAAAACTCTTTTGTTTGAAAAAATAAATATTTAATATCAAATCTTAATAAAACCAAAATTTCTATGTGTGTGTGTATTATCATACAATGCTAATGTTTCATGATTGCTTAACATATAGAAACCTTTGTTATAAAACAGCATGAAGCCATAAGCAACTTACGGAAGGCAAAAGGTTTATATTATCAGCGGCAGCAAGAATATGAAAAAGCCAAAGAATCGGCTTTAAAAGCTGAAAGTTCCGAGAGCAGTGAAACAAGCAAAGTGGACAAGAAACGACGCTTAGAGGATGATGCTTCACAGAGAGCTACTGAAGCTGAAACAACTTATAAAGCTTGTATAATAGAAGCTAACGAGAGACAACAGAAATTACAAATGGTTAAGGTAAGACTGAAGCTGAAACAACTTATAAAGCTTGTATAATAGAAGCTAACGAGAGACAACAGAAATTACAAATGGTTAAGGTAAGACTGAAACAACTTATAAAGCTTGTATAATAGAAGCTAACGAGAGACAACAGAAATTACAAATGGTTAAGGTAAGACTGAAGCTGAAACAACTTATAAAGCTTGTATGATAGAAGCTAACGAGAGACAACAGAAATTACAAATGGTTAAGGTAAGACTGAAGCTGAAACAACTTATAAAGCTTGTATGATAGAAGCTAACAAGAGACAACAGAAATTACAAATGGTTAAGGTAAGACTGAAACAACTTATAAAGCTTGTATAATAGAAGCTAACGAGAGACAACAGAAATTACAAATGGTTAAGGTAAGACTGAAGCTAAAACACAGAGAATATGTAACAACCAAGAAATGTGAACAGTGACTGTAATGATAACACAGAGAATATGCAACAACCAAGAAATGTCAACAGTGACTGTAATGATAACACAGAGAATATGTAACAACCTAGAAATGTGAACAGTGACTTAATGTTAACACAGAGAATATGTAACAACCTAGAAATGTGAACAGTGACTTAATGTTAACACGGAGAATATGTAACAACCTAGAAATGTGAACAGTGACTGTAATGATAACACAGAGAATATGTAACAACTGATAAACTGATGATGGTCTTCCAGTTTAGTTTCAACTAGATTAGTGAACTTGTGAGTTATCGATAACTCCTGACAAAGCTGTAATAGCCAAATATTGAGCTAATAGAGAGACATTCTGTAGATCTAGATCATGATTTTATTTACTTCAGTAAAATTTACCAGTATTTAGTAGTGAACTGTTTTGTTGTGATCCCCATAATATGTACACATAACTATAATGTTGTGGAGATCTAATTAAATAAGACTAATACACAACTTTCCAGTAGGAATATTTAATTACTGATGTGTTTACCTCTAGGACTGGATCATTTTTAAGTTATGGTCAAAAGCATCAAACAGTTTTTGCTTTTTACAATTTACAACATTATATTCTGTTTAATCATTTAATAGAAAAACGATCAACCTACTGCCATCTATAAGAACTGTTTGTAATTTTCACTTTCTTATAACATTTTATACTTTGAATAACATAAGCATTGTTTAACTAAAATAAAGTATTGGTTTTATTATATTTACCATTTAAATCATGAGTTTATATTGCCAATCGTTACAGGCAGAAGTGTTAAAGCTTGTCCGCGAACTCGTATACCAGTGTGATCAGACAATGAAGGCCGTTACAGTCGCTTACTTTCAACTTCAGCATACAATTTCTGCCCCTGCTCCTGTACAGGTAATTAGTAAATGAAATAAATCCTCTTTAATCCTTACACATATGAGTGTAACTGTTCTACCAAAGAAATGAAATATCTGGTAAAAGGAAAATTTTTATTTAATGTTCTATTCAATAATACATGCCAGATTTTATTCTTAAACTTGAGACTACACCACTAGGTATGCTGTCTTTCACATTTTTACCACATGATGCATTAAAACATTAAAGTATCTCCTAATGTTTGTTTTAAACATTATATAAGAGTTTGTGAGGTTAAGAAGAATATAATAGTCTATCATTAAGGTTATGTTAGTGTCTGTTCTTGTTGACCTGATTGTACTATCGCATCTGACCAATAATGGTTAACTGATGAACCACATAATGTATATCTTTCCCAGTTCCAGACCCTATGTGAAACCAGTAGACTGTATGAGCCAGGAACTCAATACATGGAATATGTGAAACATCTTTCTCCTTCAGGGAAAACGTATTACGGAGCCATTCCTTTTACGTTTGAGCCTTTCTCTTGTGACAGTAGGTTAGTGTGTATAGTATTATAGTTTATATAAACTACAGAGATAAAGAGCATAACTTGACACAACTTCAAACATCCAGGGGTATTATTATTATTAATGAGGTGGCGGTGCTGTCAATTTATGAAATACAAGCTTGTTTAACAGAGCAAGAGCTTCATGCTTCACTTGTTATGAAGTACAAGTTGGTTTAATAGAACTGAGAGCTTCATGCTTCACTTGTTATGAAGTACAAGTTGGTTTAATAGAACTGAGTAGTCTTACTTGCTTCTACTTGTTATAGGAGTACTAAGTTGGTTTAATAGAACTAAGAGTCTTCTTAGACTTCACTTGTTATGAAGTA